CTTAGTTCATATCTTAGATGTTATTACTGTTTTTCTTATACATTTTATTGTTGGATGTAACTGGGACCCCGTGTACATAATTTCGCTCCACCACATGTACCACATGAGGTGCGAATGACAATAAAGAAACTCTGACTCTGACTCTGACTCTGATTTGAGGATAAAATCTGAGGAAGAACTGCTGGGACCAACTTCCTATTTGAAAAAAGCATCCCTTTGGTTTTGTCGGCATTTAGGACAAGTTTGAGGCGAAACAAATCAGTCTGGATGATGTTGAATGCAGAATTCAAAAGCTGGAAAGCCTTAGCAACAGTTTTAGCTCGACAATAAACAACTGTGTCATCAGGAAAGTCTAGTGGAAGGGCAAAATGTGGCAGGAGAAGATGCACCAGCAAAAGAGATGACCGTGTGCTTCAGCGGATTATCAAACAGAGAAGATCCAGAATCTGGCAGAGATCCAGAAAGAGTGAAATGAGGCGGGAGTCACAGCTTCAAAAACCACCACATTCAGACGCATCCGGGAGATGAATAGAACTGTCGGGTTCCTGGGATCAAGCCACCTCTGAACCTGAGCCAACTATTTTCAGATGAAAGTAAAGTGTGCCTTTCATTCAGAAATCAAGGTCCAAGGGTTTGGAGGAAGAAGGGTGAGGAACAGAACCCATACTGCTTCAGGTCCAGTGTGAAATATCCACAGTCGGTCATGATGTGGGGTGCAATGTTCAATGCAGGTGTTGGTAAACTCTGTTTTCTTAAATCCAAGGTCACAGCAACAGTCTACCAGAATGTTTTAGAGGACTTCATGATTCCTTCTGCTGAGGATCTGTATGGAGGTGCAGATTTCATCTTCCAGCAGGACATGGCCCCTGCCCATGCCACCAGAAGCACCAAACCTGGTTTGATGCCACAGTGCTTGACTGGCCAGCCAACTGGCCGGACCTAAACCCCATTGAGAATCTATGGAGTATTCTCAAGAGGACAATGAGGGGCACCAGACCCAACAACAAAGAAGAGCTGACATCAAGCATCAAGGAAATCTGGGCTTCCATAACTCCCAGTCAATGCCACAGGCTGATTGTGTCAAAGCCACGTCACATCGAGGCAGAGATTAAGACAAAAGGATTCACACCCAAGTATTGAAGATTGAAATATCGTTTTGAAAGTACCATATTTTGATTATTTGTTGTGATCCTGATTTATTTATTTGTGTATGTATATATGTGTATGTGTATAT